TTTCTATTCTATTCTATTCTATTCTATTCTATTCTATTCTATTCTATTCTATTCTATTCTATTCTATTCTTTCATTGAAAATTACTTAGGTAAACGTATAAGTCTTTCAAAAAAGTTGTCTTTGTTTCCTAAATTAAAAATGTTTCTATAAGTTCATGTTAATAAAATGAAAATGACCACAGTTCATATATTTGATTTGCAATCACTGTGATTTCCTTCCTAATTAAACTAACTTGAAAGAATCAGAAGTAGTTTAATTGTAGGCAGACTATGCCCCCTGCTGGACAACAAATTCAGCAGCTCATTCATGAAGCTCTCATTTAGTTTTAGTTTCCAAATGTAGAAGTGATCAATTTACTTTATGAAGAAAACAGTACAAGATGAAGAACATATTGAAATATATTTTTGTTTAGTACTTTTTAGTTCATTGTTTATATAATTTTTCCAGGAATGAACTCAGTTTCAGTTTCTTCAGAAAGCTGCAAAAGCGGAGAATATTTTTTAATAAAAACACCAGCTGTGAGTCAGTTTAGAAAATGTACGTGCGTAATTGTTACATTTTATATTTTATTGTTACCCATTTCTAAATTTTTCTAAATATTAAACTTTGCTAAATATTTATCTTTATGTACAAATGTTCCCTGAGATCTGTAGTTCTTTTCAAAACTTTATTCTTTCTTGGAAATCTGTCAAGCATAATTGTTATGTTTTTGTCTTCTTAAGCTACTTCTAGCTGGCCCTCAGCTACCTTTAGCTATCTTTTTGCTACTTTAACATTTAGCTAGTGTTTTACTTTTTTAACCAGAGTCAGAGTTTTATGACTTTCAGGTTTAGGATTAGGTGTGCCTCGTTTAAGCTAACATTCTTCTACTTTATCATTAAGACAGATTTAGATTTTTTTAAACTTTTATCTAAAGTTTTGCTACTTTTAGTTAAGAGTTTGTTGCTGTTAGCCTTTGGCTAGCATTTTGCAACTTTTACTAAATATTTTGGCAATTTTACCTATTAGCTAAAATTTATTTTCTTTCAGTATTTAGTTRACATTTTATTTTACATTTTGCTACTTCTACTTTGTAGCTAAGGTTTGACTACCTAGCACTTTGCCAAATGTAGTGTCGTTTTGCTGCTTTTACTTTTTTAACTTTACTACATTTTCTTAGTGTTTTGCTCCTTTTACCTAATGTCTTGCTTTTTATTGGCTTTACCAACTCAGTTTTAGTTTCAGCTTCTTCAGCAAATGTCTTCAAGTCATTCAGCACTCAGCGTTCACACAACACTTCCAGAAAATGCATTTCTTCTAGTTTTAATACTGAAGCAGAAACAGTATTTCATTTGATCTACCTGCATTAAGCAGTAACAAGTTTAATTTTTAGTAAACTTTTCATGTCAGAAGCTCTTCAGGAGCTGATGTTTGCTCTCTGATAGGCTTCCTGAGAGAAACTTTCCCATCATGCATTTCATCTAACTCACCAGTTTGGCTGACTTGGTCGTCTCCAGGATCTCTGCAGAGATAAAAATAAAAACACAGAAAAGTAAGTACCTTGTCACAATGACCCTTATAAATTTAGCAAGACAAAAAGTCCATCACTGGACCCGGACACAATAAAGTGAGCATCTTTTATTGTCTGTTGAGCAGACTGTGAAGAGATAAACCTCTCCATAAAAACTGTAAACAGCCCCCATCTGTTCTATTTATTTGACAACATTACATCAGAGCAAATGTGAGGTCATGTAGTCAGAGTTTGTTCATTTAATGAAGTGTCACAAAATCTGATAACCTTTACAAACTCTTACCAAATCCAAATTTGTCACATTTTTTCCCCACTTGAAGCTCAACAGAGGTCTGATAATTGTTTGCTGAACACTAAAAGATGATGTGTTTTTGGCCATTTGTGCATTTGTGTGTCTGTCTGCCACCAAAATACCTCAAACCACTGGACAAATTTTGTTGAAACAAAAATTGCACGTTCATCTACAACAGAATAACTTTTGGAGTCAACTCGATACCAGACGACCGCCACGACCAACTGACCTTAAAAAATATAGAACTGTTCACAGTCCATGTTTAAATATTTGTTTAAATTCAGCCATTGAGTATTTAGAGTCAGCTCTGTCTGTTAGCAAAATATCTGGGCAGCATGATGGCTCAGTGGTTAGCACCGACGCCTCACAGCAAGAAGGTCCTGGGTTCAATCCCTGGCTCAGACCTGGGGTCTTTCTATGCAGAGTTTACATGTTCTCCTCGTGGTTGTGTGGGTTTTTCTCCAGGTACTCCGGTTTCCCACACAACACAAAAACATGTACAATAAGTTACCTTCAGGCCCGGGCCTCCTTTGAAAAAGAGATCTGTGATTTACATGGGATCTGCCTAAATAAATAACGGTAAATAAAATAAATAATCTCACAAACATTCAGAAAATAATCACAGGATGTACATTAAACAACTGATTAACATTCAGAGTCAATTCAAGATGGCTGCCACAGATAATAAACATTAGCTAACACAAATATTTYTACAGTTCAGTCAAATTTACAGATCTTGAGCTAAAATTTGGTTAATTTGCTATGTCTGACCAAAATTACAATTACTGATCCTGTCGCTTCTCATTGTTTAACATAATTTACAACTCCGGCATGAAACCTGAGGTGGTTTGCATTTCTTGACTTGCTCAGCCTTGAATTTGAACTGATTTTGGATAACAGAAGCATCTAGAGCTCAAGGCTTTTTTCTTTGCAACTCCACTAAAATCTGCAGAAACATCTTGTTGTCAGGCAACATCAGCCTCATCTTTGTCCATCAACTGTTMCAAAAGGTTAATGTGTTGTTTAGTTTATTTACAGATAAACAAATGGCTCTGTCTTTAGTACTGATACAAAACAACCGCAATCTATTTATTGCAGCAGCAGCAAGTAACCTTAGCAACAGTCCAGCTCCATTCTCCAGCATATAAGACTAATTTATGACTAAAGAACAAGCGATTTTTTTTATTTTGACTGATTAATGCAAATAACATAAGTGTAAATTGTTATATTAACTGCTGCTGATCAAATATAAATTGTTTTATTTTTTGCAGCTCCTACAGGCCCTCTGTGGCTGACTGATCTGCAAAACGGCACTAAGTTAAACCAAACTACATTTTTATTTACAGAAACATAATTTCACTTTAACAGCTTTTATTCACAGTTATTCAGTATTTTGCCTCCTAGCAAAAGTTTAAAGAGCACTCTGCAGTTGTGTAAAACCAAACATGGTTTTGTTGACAGATGCTTGGTGTCAACAGATGAAGGTCTTGATGTGCACAGAACCTCAGCTCAGACAGACTCAGTGCCTCAATCCATCAGCATGTAGCAGATTATTTACAGCAGTGGGTCCCAAACTTTTTATCTTCTTACCCACAAAATATTCATGGCAAAAACTTGTGACCCCAAATAGGTCTGAGTACACGATCTTTGTTAATAACCCTTAAAACACAGGCTTTTTGACCATCTAAACAGCTTGTACACAAATATAAATACTTATTTATACTTATTTTGTGCTTTTGTAATAGTTATAGGGAAAATATTACATCATCAATTATTTTATTACTCTTTAAATTGATTTC